GTCATTGGACGATATGATTCGTCACTATCTTCATCCACATTTTCACTTCCATTCCACAAGCCAGGCACATCCCAATCATATGCCCTATCATCTCCAAAATTACAAGGAACAACATCTGACCCTAACGGTGTGAGAGATGCTATATCAGGACCAATATGACCATAGTAGGGGGTCGGTCAGAAGAAGAGGGGTTCGACGATGAGGACAGAACTGATGGACTTGAAAATGAGGGTCTCAGAAATAAGGGTCTTGCAAATGGGGGGGCACAAGCTGAGGGAATAGGAACATTGGACACGTGTTGGCCTAAATAATATGGGAAAGAAGGCATGTACGGTTCATTCTAATGTACCTTCTTTGGCACGGTAGATATGTATAGCGGCAATTCAGAGACATCTTCACCAGTCAAGAAGAAAGTCAGGTCATCGTCGTCAGTTATTTCCATTACACAAACCTTCGCCTTAAAATTATATACACGTCTAATTATGATATCTTCCTRTAATGGATTTATACTACTTAGCCTACATACATGTCYTAGAAATTCAGCATAGGTGATTTTACTATCCACAGTCAATCCTCTTGTACGACCACCCACGTAATCMTTTTCAATATCTTTYCATTCTCCACCGAATGATATAAARACACGAGGCATCCTGCAAATAGACCAAAACACTATAATTAAATACAAATCAATAAATTTACAAACAAACAAGAAAAATTCAAGATTTATATTGCATGGTCTCGGTCCCTATCCCGGTCCCGGTCCCAGTCCCTATCCCGGTCCCAGTCCCTATCCCGGTCCCAGTCCCTATCCCGGTCCCAGTCCCTATCCCGGTCCCAATCCCTATCCCGGTCTACCCCAGTTTATCCCCATCTCGGTCCCGGTCCCGGTCTGGACATGAAGGACAGGGCTTGAGTTTACCTTCTATCTCAGTCTCAAACCCGGTTCTAAATTTCATCCAGGTAACAATCCCGGTCCAAGATAAATTCTAGACTTCATTTCTGTTTTCCGTAAAATAACGTTTTTTTCTACAAAAATGATAAAATTTCGTATCATTACAAGTTTGAAGAAGTACAATATTCTAAAATGATGAAATGGACATACCTATATTGTGCAAACAATGGATTCGAGATAACGGATTATGTGGGGACCGATCGATTGGATAATGTGGGCCAACAATCACGTGGAGAAAATCTTGAGTATTGGGAAAAAAAAACGTGACTTGCGTGTGTGTGGTGATTTGGAGTTGAAAAAACAAAGTGAGAATTGTTAAGTTGGTGGTTGGTGGGTTGGTTGGAAATTTATTATATCATAAATGCATTTATTATGAAATGAGGRCAATTTAGTCAATTTACATGATAAAATAAGGGGAGGGGTCAGAAATCTGAGGTGAAGGGGTCATGAATAAGTAAAAATTAAAAGGGGGTCAAAAATCCAGAGTGGTTATTGAAAGGGGTCAAAAATCCCAATTTCCCCTCATGGACGTTGTGGCTGCGATTTTCTTTATTTATAATATATTCTCTTTCAACTCTGGATTAAATTCATTAAATTTAAAAAAAATCATTATCATGTTAATTTCCCTTTTTATTAACAAAGATACTTCTTTCTAAACAATTGTTAGTTCAAATTTCCGCTCCTATATATTTTTTCTTTACTGGACACTCCTATACGATAAAAAATATGCATCATTAATATTATTACTTAAATGTGATGATGTGATGTGTTCATTAAACTAACAAATTATGATTTGACAGGATGTGACATGAAAGAGTAAGTCAATTATAAATTTGTTTCGAGAAAATGGTAAACCAATTATATCAAATAAGAGTGTAGGCAAAAAAAAATTTGATTTAAAATGTATTTCATATTCAATTTTTTTTTGCTTCCCACTATTTTTTCTAAATTACCTACCATTCTTATGTCAAATTGTTTTAAGTCATCATTTATTAGTCTTAATTAGTGTAGATGTATTATTTAAATGCAAGATTGTAGTAAATTAAATTCTGAAGTGAAAGCTGAGATATGTAATTGAGATAAAAGAACTCAGACACAGCACAAGCATTAAAAATTATAGATTAATTTTATAATTTAACCAAAATTACTTTAAAAAATAGGTCAACAAAATATTTATTTGAATTTTGTGGTGGGGTTGTTATTCTTAAATAAAATTAGAAAGCAAACTCTTCAAAGAGAATTCCATCTCGCATTTAACGAAATTTTAGATGGATTATAATAAGGTTTAAAAAGAATTAAAGTTGGAATCATATCTTCCTGAGACATTTTTTTTTCTTTTTTTTTTTCCTTTTTCCTCTGATATGGCATCATATGATATCATTACAAGTTACTAAGTAGTGTATTTGATAAAATTTTGTTTTCATATTTGGTCTTTAAAAAATTATGCCCTTCACTAACAGTTTATGCTGTTTCCTAATCTACTTTTATAAACACTGTTAAAATCTTAATCAACATTTCTTAGTTTAAAAAAGAAAAGTAGCAACATTATTTAACTTTTAAAGAAATGTGGGGTCATGTGGCAATTCAAAAGGAGTTATAAGACGGACAAATCAAAATAGTGGGGTCGTATAGCAATTCAAAAGGAGTTATAAGAGGGCCATTCCAGACATGAATTATCTAAAAAGTCAGACTTGAAAGAAAAGGAAAATACAAAAATGCACCCAAAAAGTAGGTTGAAGAGATTGAGGTGCAACATGATAGGTCTTTTTCCTTTTCTCAATGAAATGCTTTTGGTCCCAATGGAGAAGTCTTCTGTTTTTTGACCATTCAAAAACTTATTCTACTCCTATAATTGTCTTTTTCTTTCTGTTTTCCTATACTTTCAATGTCGTGTCTGAGATGATATCCCAAGATTTTGATTTTTGAAGCACAATTATTACATATCTCTTCATCAAAGTTGATTAATTAGAATCTAGAAAAGCTAAAGGAAAACAAAAAGTTTTTTTTTTTTGACAATTTTTTTTCTTTTTTTTTTAGCAATTACTCTCACACTGGCACAATTCTACAAATTTTATTATCTGTTGTTTTTTTCTACGCAAAGATTTAGTGTCAAAGATGAAAATCCACTTTACACGATGTCAATAATGATAAATATTTTTTCTCAATGTTATATATTAATTATCACGCTATATAAACATTATTATATAGATGTCTGTTTGCTTTGTGTCTCATTCCATGTGTCACTTTTTCCACGACTTCGAGCTCGACCACGATTGTTAAAATTTACAACATTCGCTTTAGAGAATGGTGTTGTTCCAATTGGTCAAGATTCACGATTTTTCATCAGTAACTCAGTTATTTTGTTCAGCCACGAGAAGACATGATAGAAGTTCATAATAGTTTTTAAAACCCCTCTCTCGATATTGGTGCTCCAGGAGAATATTCGAGGCATGAAATGTAGAAAATCTCTTCTCTACATATCTCTATCAGTAATTTTCTATCCGCACAACGATAAATATGAATTGATTTTAAATAATGCGGAGTGACCCATTAGTAATCATGCGTGGCCCATTGGTCCTAAGGGGCTAGGGTAAATTAACAAGGAATGAGTTCAAATCTGAATCACTAAGTCTTATTTTATGAAGGAATGTCAAAAGAGAAACCACTCACGATCGGGTTCGGGTTCCTTGCATGAACCTCAAAATAGTTTTGATATTTGCTCAACAGATATAGTCATTTAAAATAAGCAACTTCAAAAAATAGTCAAACAACTTTCAATTTTGAAAAATGACCAACGTAAAAATAGAAAAATCTGTGCTAATATTTTAGGTACTAAATTACCGTTCCATGATTTTTAAATCAATATATTATTTATCATCTTATATAGGAGAATCATACCTATATATATATATATTTTTCTAATGAATCATTCAAATATTGCGAGAATCTTACTTGTATTTTTTAATTCAAATATTTTTCCAAGAGAATTTTAAAAACAAACCTAAAAGGAAAAAATATTAATTAAATTAAAATCTAAAACAAAAAAAATCATTTTATAAATAGAAATACCAAAATTTAAACAAGAAAACCATTTTAGAAATGGAAATACCAAAATTTAAACAAGAAAATCATTTTACAAATGGAAGTACTAATATCGAAGATGGAAAACAAATACCGGGTAAAAAACATGATAGAACAAATACAAACAAATACACTATCAAGCATGATTAACAAATACAGTGAACAAGTGAACAAATGAACAAATATGATGAATAGATGAACAAATACCTAAACATTAAAATAAAGATATACTGTGAAAAATAAGATGAACACATAATGTCTATTTTTGTGACACAATTAATACAAAAATATAAAAAAAATTCTACCTCA